CTGAATGTCCCCACTCAAGAATAGAAGAGAGAATTTGCCCTTCCTCTACCTTGGTGTTCTGTTTGGGCCCTTATCAGATTGGGTGCTGTCCTTCATCTTCCTTAGTCTACTGATTCAAGCATTAATCATAGGTGTGGTGAGGTAGAATTTTTTTTTTCCTCCTTAGCTGAGCTCATCCCTTCTTTCCTTCCCTCCCTTATTTCTTTACTCCCTCCTATATTTCTTTCTTTCTTTCTTTCTTTTTTTTTTTTTTTTTTTTTGAGACAGAGTCTCGCCTTTGTTGTCAAGCTATGAGTGCCATGCATCAAAACCGCCTAGCTCACAGCAACCCAAACTCTGGGCTCAAGCGACCTACTGGCCTCAGCCTCCTGGGTACGCATGGGACTACAGGCAGTGCCACCATGCCGCGCGCTATTTTTCCTATGTATATATTATTGCCCAATTATTTCTTTCTATTATAGTGGAGACTGGGTCTCGCATCTTGGTCAGGCTGGTTTCAAACTCCTGACCTCCGCACACAATCCGGCCACCTTGCGCTCCCAGAGTGCTAGTATTACAGGCATGAGCCACCGCGCCTGCCTTTCTTCCTTTCTTCGCTTCTTCTCTTCATTCATTCCTTCTTCTCCTTTCTTACTTTCTTTGTCTTGCTCTGGTCACCCAGGCTAGAGTACAGTGGGATCAGCCTAGTCCACCGCAACCTCAAACTTCTGGGCTCAAGTGATCCTCCTGCCTAGCCTCCCTGGTACTGGGACTACAGGTGCCGTGCCACCACACGCTGGCTAATTTTTTTTCTATTTCTAGTAGAGACAGGGGTCTCACTCTTGCTGAGGCTGAGCTCACACCTCAAGTGATCTGCCTTCCTTGGCTCTAGAGTGCTTGAATTACAGGCATGAGCCACTGCGCCTGGCTGGCTCATCTTTTTCATTTAAAAAGCTTTAGAAAACAAAAAAGCAAAATCCTCAGATTCCCTCCTTGGTGCACATCTGCCCACTCAATATTACCAATTCCTAAAATATGAAGCTATCAGAGTTCTTCTCAAAAGTCAAACCCCCTGTTTTTGTCATTGCCTCATCCCTACTCCATCCTTGCTAAAATCGCTCTAAACTTCCCGCGACAAGTGGCTCATGCCTGTAATCCAAGCAGCTCTGGGAGCTAGGCGGGAGGATCGCCAAGGTCAGAGTTCGAACCAGCCTTGAAGCAAGACAAGACCGGCCGTCTCTACCTGAAAATAAGAAGAAATAATTGACCAACCTAAAAATACATATACACAAAAAAAAATTACCAGGCATGGTGGCCGTCATGCTGTAGTCCAGCTACTCGGAGGCTGGAGGCAGTAGGAGGGCTTGAACCCAGGAGTTGAGGTTGCTTGAGCTAGGCTGATGCCCTGGCATTCTAGTCTGGCAAACAAAGTGAGACTTTGACTCAAAAAAAAAAAAAAAAAAAAACAAAAAAAAACCCTTCCCACAGTTCTAGCAATGGGCAACTCCCTTACAAGGCTGAGGCCAGGGTCTGGCTTCTCTCCTGTACCCAATACTGCACGCCCTCGCTCTTTGCTCTCTAGCCTCAGCTATCTGGCTTCTTTTTTGATTCCTTCATGCTACAACCTTCTTCTTACTTAGAATAGATGAATCCTCTTCCAAACGCTTTTTGCCTATGTAGTTCAGTTGTAAGTCAAGACGTCAGTTTATCAGAGTGGTCACAGGTCGCACCACTTTTATCTATATTCTTTCAATGGCTCTCCCGCCTCCTCCCAGAGGGTTAAGATAGATTGGTTCTTAAATAGGCAAAAGTATACAAGAGGAAGTATTAAAAAATTCATTAAGTCAGTTCAGTGGCTGCTTAGCTTTAGGTATCACACAGGGAGTGATCTGACATGGTCAAAACTTTAGTGTACTCAGTTCTAGAGAAAATTTCTTCAGGAAAAGGTTGTTTACTTATTCTAAACTCAGTACTTACTAGGTTTAGGATACAAAGATTACCAAATATATTAGCTCTTTGCTACTGCTAACCACAAACTCATGTGGTAAAACAGATTTATTTTATTTTCACAGTTACAGGTGAACAAAGGTCCTTAAATCAAGGTGTCAGACAGGTTTTTTTAGCCTAAGACAGTATCTGTTCCTTTTGCTGTTTCAGCTTTTATTTACTTTATTTATTTGAGACAGAGTTCTCACTCTGTTGCCCTGGCTATGGTGGCCATGGCATCTAAGCCTAACTCCAGCAACCTTCAAACTCCTGGGCTCAACAACCTTCCTGCCTCAGCCTCCCAAGTAGCTGGGACTCATGGGCATGTGCCACCATGCTTGGCTAATTTTTTATATATATTCTTAGTTGGCCAATTAATTTCTTTCTATTTTAGTAGAGACGGGGTCTGCTCTTTCTCAGGCTGGTTCTTGACTTTGAGTGATCACCCGCCTCGACCTCCCCAGAGTGCTTAGGAGTATAGGTGTGAGCCACCGTACCTCAGGCCTTCAGCTTTTTGATGTTGCTTGCATATTCCTTTGGAATATGCGCCCCTTCCCCATGCACGAAACCTCTGTTTTCCTTGTTATGTCACGATCGTCCTTTCTGAACTCCTCCCTTCTCCTAGAGGGTACCCTAGATAATCCAGGATAACTTCACATTTGAGATCCTCAGTTAATCGATCTGGCAAATCCTTTTGGCCAAAAGGCAAGGAATGTATCACGGGGTCCGAGATTACAGCTTATTCCTATCACACAGATATAATATTGTCTTCAACAACTCAAAGTCTTTGGAGGATGTGTGTGTGTGTATTTGTCTGGAAAGTATCCAGCCATAGTAATATGAAAAATACGACGACATTTTATGATAGAAGATACAGGAATATTGGTACACAAGTCTCTGATGGCTCATCCTCTTCAAAAATAGATCTTTTGAGCCGTCACTCCAGTTTCTACCAGTTGTCCTCTTACTAACCTGTACAGTTCAGCATTCTCAGTTCGCTTGTGTGTAGCCTTTCAGCATGGATCTCTTTCAAACAGATTCTTACTGTCTTTGCAGAGTTTGGTGCCAGTGCTTTTATTTGTGCTGCGCTCAGTGTGCTCTCCCAAAAAGGCTTCTGATCATCTGACATAGTCTCTGCAGAGGAGTGTTCAGGCTAAGGCCAAATTTGAATGCAGTTTCATTGTTCACTCACTCAGGCATTTGAATGTGACAGCCACACAGTTACACATGCTCACCATGGTGTACTAGCTCCCACCTGAATAGTACAGTGACGTCCATCGTTGTTCATCGCAAGTGCAACTTCAGTCCAGCTCTCCCATTGGCTGCCCAGGGTTACATGGAATTCAAGGCAAACCTCTCCTTATAATATAACAATGCTGGATATGTTCCACCAGATTATTAATATATATATTT